CAGTTTCAACTCATGGGTGAAACTTTTTGAGTTTCATTTTTTCATTCTCTACCCTCTGGGACAGACTCCCCCTCCCTTCCAAAGGTCCCCAATTTTGATTTCCTAGTGGACTTCATGCTGTCTGCTAGCAGCCCCCATGTGTTTTCCCTGTCTTCTACCTCCGTTTACCTTATCATTTCAAGGATCCCCTTTCCTCTATTTTTGACTTCTTCCAATTACAGATGTGTACAACCAGATCCTCAGCACTCAAGTTAACTTCCTTGGTTCTCATGGCAAATAGCTACCAGTTTGCACCTCCAGAGTTATCCATAAAGGCAACAAATCTGTTATACCATTTCTGTTGAATCATATAGTCCTACTAAGCTGGTAGGCATTCCCTTTGTTAACCAAGTCCTATCATACAACTCAGAGTGGCACTAGAAAATAAAAGCTAGATTAGCAATACTGCCATAATCCCTATAATTTCCTTCTTAGTTCATTTTTACGCACTTATCACAATTATGGCGAAACCACTACACTAGTGATAGATTGAAGGCAAGAATAGGTGTGCATGAAAGTGACATGGCACTGCCACTCCCTTCAAAGAACTTAAATACTTTCCATGATCTGGTGGACTGGAGGCATGAGTAAGTGGCAATTTTTCCCCATTTCACACACTTAAACTTAAGAGGCTGAATGTCACTTTATGTAAAGGGAAGAGGGAATGGCCTTGAGGGACAGAAGGAAGAGCCACTACCAACACAATGGCCAGATAAAAGATGCCTGAGTCCGGAGCAGGAATGTAACTTGACAAGCCCCTCCCTAGTTCTTACAAAGATTGGGGGGACGGGGGAGCACATTCAGACTTGCAAGATTCTGTTACTATAGCTTTACAATAAAAGTAATACTGACCTACATGACATTGGATTCCTAATCTGATCTACTTGAAGGGCTGACACTTAATATCAAAATTAGTATCACTGGCTTTTTTAACACAATGCACACAATTTGTTAAGTTTAATAATAAACTAAATAAGGTTTTGAAAAGAGAGCCATGCAAACAAAATAAATGCACATTACAACAATGAGATCACAAGAAGCAACATTATAAATGTATTGATAATATAATAATGGGAAACTCAATATAAGGATCAATTTTCACTACATAAAGCTTCCACAAGAAAATTCATAAATGTTAGGATTTCAAATGTCAGAGTGCAGTGCCTGTGCAATAGTGATGTCAGTATGAATTCATTGAACCACTTATTGTTATGTTCCTTTGGCCAACAGGTTTAAAGATAATCTTATTCTGTCCAAGAGGTTTAAACTAGAGATAGGAACTTTTTGCTTGTGGAATGGAATGGAATTGTAATATGTAATCACCAAGGTTGCTTAATCAAAACAAAAAATACTTGATTTCTACCTATCTTTTCCACACTAATCCCGGTAAATCTACTTTCTTTTGATTAAGAAAACAGTCATTATAATAAACACAATTCACCATTTTCGTTCATTGCTTTCCTGCACACGTACAACATTTCTTTGTTAATGCATCAGATCTTTTGATTTACAGCATATGCTCTCAAACACCTTCTAATGATTAATTTCCTTACCCAAGGAAGGCCAACTGCAATCCATTTTTAAATGGACTTTCTGTTCTTACATATTGATTGGCAGTAATGTAGCAAATTTACATTTGACTTGGCAGTTAATTTACTATTTCCACAATATTCAGCACTTGAATATTAGAAGAATGCTGCCAAGTAATGTGTCACTGTCCCTGACTCTTGCAGTTTTAGCATAACTCCTTGTCCATTGGACTACCCATGTAAGAGAAAAATGCAGGGATTTAGAAAATTTGTGAAAAATTTAAAATTTGTGACAGTAATTCACTCTTTTAAGTGCTAGAACTGATCATTTCCTTTGTCTTTTTCATAAAACTTAGAGGGAAAAGATGAAAGGCTCATTTAGTCTATGATTCTGTTGCCTATTGTGTCCAGGCAGATGTTTCTGGGAAACCTGAAGACATGATGGCAATAGCTCCTCTTTTGCCACTTCTTGGTTATTGGTAATTAGAGTAATGCCTCTGATATTAAAGATAATACATAGTTATCTTAACTGATACCATTGTTGACTTCCTCACTGTTGCCTAATTCCTTTTAAAAAATCATTGAAATGTATGGCCATTGTCACATTTTGAGGCAGAAAATTACATTTTCTGAGTCAGTATAATATTAGTTATTAGTGAACTAGGACTAGTAGGAGCTAAGTTCCAGTCCACCCTTAGTCACAGAAGCTCACTGGGTGACTCTGGGTCACTATCTCTACTCAACCCACATCATAGGATACTTGTGAGGAAAAATAAAAGGAGGAAGCATGATGTATATCACCTTAAGCTTCTGAAAGAAAAATGGGATATAAATCTAATAAATTTATCCCATAATTCCCTGTGAGCATGGGCAAAGATGATCTTATCTGGGAATTATGAAGGTCTAATGTATCTGAAGGACATCAGGTTGAAGACAGCTGATCTACAGTATAGACTTCTTTACCAACTAGCATATTTGCTTGTTATATGGTTTTTACCTCTCAGAATTTCCTAGTCAACAGGTTCATTGCTGAGAACTTTTGGCAGTTGAAAGGTATTCAGGTGTCAGGCTTCAGATAGGCACGACATTCATCTCTACTCTCCTGAAACTCAGTCCCCACAATCAGTGACTGACAGCAGATGCTTCACAAAAAAAGAAGGCAATCACATATATGCAGACAATCTACCTACTGTAGAACATAAAAATCAAGATACACACACACACACACACAAATACACTCATACATAAATACATACAATAGTTCTTAAAAATTTGTGAACCCTTTTAAATGTTCGATATTTCTGCATAAATATGACCTAAAACGTGATCTGTTCTCCACACAAGTCCTAAACCTAGATAAAGAGAACCCAATTAAACAAATAAGTAAATGTATGAAGCCCAACTAGACTGCCAGTTGAAGACAGTTGGGAGGCTGGTGCCCAACTCTCCTCTCTGTTACAGCCACCAATTCCCATCATCTGTCACCTGAGGGAACTGCTTCACAATGGTAGATCTGGCCTTGATTTTTCATATTAATTCAAGCTCAACTGAAAGATACTATACTTAAAATAATGTGAAAAATGCAAATTCCCACCATGTATCATTAACATATACAGAGAAATCAAATGGAATTCATGCATGTGTGAACCAGCCTTAACCTCATTTTTTTTTTCATAATTTTTATTAAAGATTTTATTTACAGTAGTAAAAGCATACCTCATGTTTTCTGTATATGCATATACTTCTAAGTCTTGGGGATTTTGCCAGGTTTTTAAAATTGCAAATTAGTGCTTATATCTTTAAGAGTTTTTTGACTTTTTAAAAAATAAAGTCAGTTTATATCATGAGTGATACCCAATTTCAAAAATCAAGCTAAGTCTAAAAAAAATACTTTTGTTCTCTTCTAAGAGTCAATTTAAACTTTTCTAAACAAATATTTCAAAAGGGAAAGGCAGAAACCTCTTTGCAGAAAATATAATTCTCTGTATTTATTCATTTTAAAACAATTTTATTCATTTTTCATGCAATAATTCCAGTATTTTGCAAAACCTTCAGTTAATGGAATGACTAGCTGTCATTTTGATATTAAAAAAACATGGTATGGTAGCAAACTTTTAACTAATTTATAAGTATACAGATTTTTGATTTACTATCCAATAATAGAATTTTAATGAGATAAACATTTGTCATGTGGCTTGACAGGTGATGGCAATACCCAAATCACAGAGTGAATTAAATGACAAGCTGTCCTGCCATGTCAAGTTTTTATTGCTGCCTTTTGATGCATAAAGATCTTGTATTAAGTGATATTTAAGGAAGGCTCATTCTCTTTGACAGTTTAGTGACATGATCTGTGAGCAGGAAAAAATAATGTCATGCTGTCAAATCAAAGATGAGAAGATTACTTTAAATATTACCTATTTTAATAGCGCTCAGAAAGTTTGCAAAAATGTAGACAAGTATATTCTGTGTTTTATTATTATATAATAATATTTCTAGGTAGGCTTTAGGCAAATATGTACAAAAATGTCCATGTACTTATCACCTGGTAACAGAAGAATGGTGTTATGAAAAGATAGTTTACAAGGATTTGTTATTGCTTACTCCTTGAAAACTTTTTCCTATCTTTATATGGATTTTCATTATTGTGAACATCAGTTGCAGTGTTCTCTTCATATTATTTAAGCTTTTGATTTATGCACTGAAAATGTTTAGCTGTGTTCATCTAAAACCCCATTACAGTATACAGGTTTTTTTTATATCTCAAGCCCTGATATAAAACTGCAATATATATTTTTAGTATCTGCCTGATTAAAATGTATGGAAAAGTTTACTATTAAATACAGGCATAAGGTTTTTATTCATTAAACATGGAAGTTCTCTGTGCTTCCATTTTAAATTATATTAATAGTGTTTGTGATTGTTTTATATAACTTGAATTTTAAAAAAGCTTTAGTGTTATCATCATCACCATCAAACGTAGTGCTAATTGTAATAGCAGCAGCAATAATTTGCTTTTGAGTTTTACCAGTATGCTACCTTGATAGCAATAATGTTCTTCAATTACTTATTACTTATTGGTAAATTTTCTGATCACACGCATTATATTTGAAGCATAATTCATATTCAGAGTACTGTATGAATGTAGCTCATATATACTTTATGCAGGCAGTATATCAAAAAATTTATGGCAAGCCCTTGTTTACTAAAATAACTTAAAATATGCCTTACAGCATTCTGAACCATTAAGCACAGGAAAGCTACAGTGGGAAGAATTCCGTAAGTTGTTCTGTATGACCTCTGCAGCACTGAGCTTTCAAGCTCTGTGCCAAAACACGTTTGAAATTTAGGCCAGCGTGGAGATTCTCTGTTGCCTTTGGTACTATAATATTAAGTGAAAACAAGGATAGCAGCAAAGATGGTTGCTGGGAAATGCTTGTTTATGTTGCTTCTCCTAAAATACTGCTGCCAGAAGATATGATGAGGTAGTATATAGATGGGTGGAATTTCTCTTTCTGTTACCATAGGATGGGCTATCTCAAATTGAGATGCTTATTGGAGTGTGCAAAAGGAATACTAACGTCAACCATAATCATCACCACCACCACAACAGTTGTCTTGAGTTCAAATATTTTTCACTCACAATGAGCTGTTTGATCATTTTTTAATATTTCAAACAAGAAACCAAATGTTTCAGACTTGAAACACAGGTGTTAGAGATTTGAAACATTTTGAAAATGATTGTAATATTTGAAATGTGAAACAGATGTTTGAAATTCAAATCTGAACAGATCAAATACAATATGAGCAATTGAGAATGTTTTCTACATCACAAATGTATAACTAGGTCAATACATGCCTTTCAGACTAAGTTATCATTTGGATTTTGTACTTCTCCAATTTGCTCAAAACAGCAACAATTAAAAACTATATTTTGATATGCAAGAAGTTTAGAAATGTATTGGAAGGAAGTGCTTTTAAAATATGCAAACTTTCATGCGGCTTTTAAAGATTCCATTTCTTTATGTGAAAATAGAATGGAACAACTTTATAACTGGACACATGCAGAAGTGGGATGGATTAGAAAAAGAATAATCTGTCCAACCCATGGATGTAGTTATACTTTCTTTACAATTATTTCACTATTGAAAATGTCAGTAAAAATTGAGAGAAAACCTTCTCTGTTCCCAGAGAGAAGAGGGATATAAAATAAATCAGTGGCAATGATGAGATTCAAATGGAAGTTGAAAAGTTTAAGATGACAATTACTTGATAGAAAGAAGGGTGGAAGGCAGAATTGTATGGTTTTTAAAAAATTTTCTTTCTTATCTTTTATTTTCTATATTTGTTCTTGTTTGTTTTGTATATTTTATTACATTAAAAATTTCTAATTAAAAAAATAGATTCAACTGGAAATTAAAAGATTGTCTGTCACTATAATTTTCAATATGAAGTAAAAAAAAAACCCAGTAACATAGTCCTAAATAGGAAATTTTAAATTAAAGGCACAGGGTGATAGAAAATCTTCAGTAGGATTTGCCTATCCATATTGGCCACAGTGACCATACAATTGCTTTCTATTCCTAAAAATCACCACAAATAAAGTCCTGGAAAGCACTGAATGGGGAAAACATCAAACATATTGAAATGTGTTAAAAAGAGTCTCACGAAATTGGTATTCTGTATTTAAAAATGAGTGAGCGCAGGATTGGAAAAAAGAACTATTGTGCAAGTAACCCACCTTATGATTTACTGATTTGATCAACAGGAAAGTTTTGAAAGAGATCTCTGTGGGGAACCTTAAGCCCAATGAAACAGTGGAAGCAAATTTGGAAGCCCAGCTGTTGTCCAGGCTAGACCATCCAGCCATTGTTAAATTCTATACAAGTTTTGTTGACGGAGAGAGTTTTTGCATCATCACTGAATACTGTGAGGTGAGACCTGTGTGCTATTTTTCTTAAGAGCTGCTGAATGAATGTCCATAAAAAGTTTTAAGGACACTCCACCCCCCACCCCCCACCCGTTTCAGGATTCTTATTATTCATTTGCTAAAATGCTTACTCTGGAGTTCCATTTCCTAAGAGAACCTTGTGAGAGAATCCAGTGCATGTTTACAAAATGAGCTGGCTGAGACATTGTGCACTGTAAAATTAGGCATGTCTATATTGGAGCTTCTTGTTCCCTTGGCTGTATTTTATGTTCTTCAAGAATATAAATAACCGAATAGAGTTATAGAAAGTTTATGAGATGATGGTCCATTAAGAAAATAGGTATTTTCCTGCACACTTAGGAGCTGACAGCCTGAATGCATGAGGGCAATGTCAATTAATGCAGTTGCTGTAATGACTGAGCTGCCTTCCTCTTCAATTAGTTAAGGATAATGCTGTCTTTGCTGGGAGACTAAGTGAGGAGCCACAGGAAGCAGCATAAGAGCTGCTTTGCCAGTGAAGAGGGTAGTTTGCTTCTGGCCTTGATGTAATTATATCTTTCTCTCCTCCAACCCTCAGAATCAGTAGGACAGGAAAATTTAAAAATTCTGCCTCTAGTTCATGCTGAGGCTGCAGCGAGTTGGCAGGTCTGTGGATATGGTGAGGACTCTACCACAGAATCTCCCTCCATCAATAAGTAACTATAGGATTGTTCTGCCTTGACCAGATTAGATGCAGCAGTTCTATGCATAGTTACATCATTCAAATAAAAAAAATGAGAGTGGATATCTGTTCATATGCCAAAGACTTTCATTACTTTAATCTGTTTTTCCCAAGCCCTTCCTACTTTTACAAGGATGCACTACATGACTGATTTCATCTGCTTTGGGATTCATCAGATGTGGGTAGCCAGATGTCAATACTATGGAGTTCAAGCCTTCAGCTGGGAATTGAACTCACAAACTTTTGCACATCATGACTGTATACAGTGCATTAGCTTCATGAGTTATCTAGGTCCTAGTGTTAGGCTTTTGAATTGCACAGAGTAGTCACGGAGCTAAAACTATACATAAATGTGATTTAACATTTGTTAGTAAAAGTAATTGAAAAAACTCTGATTGTATCCAGTACATTTCTTTCCATTAACTTTAATGAATTAAGGTGTAATGCTTCCATCAGAATGTACATTTGCTCCTGTGTTTCAGGGTCGAGACCTTGACTTTAAAATTCAAGAATACAAAGGAAGTGGCAAAGTATTTCCTGAAAGCCAAATAATAGAATGGTTTATACAATTATTACTTGGAGTAAACTACCTGCATGAAAGGTACTGTAATTTGATTTGTCATGGTGTAAATTGAAGCTAAGTTTTCACTGCTGGATTGCTGATATAGAGCAAACATTTTAACAGCGTGTTGAATAGTTTTTATTTGTCTCTAATATGAAATTCTGTTCAGCCATCTGGATTTGGATAATTAATATGTGATTAAAGGGAGTGTCCTCTTTTAAATATTTTCCAAAGTTTGCCATTTTAAACCCAACTATAATCTCAGCAAAGATTACTATAAGATATCAAATATATTGGCAAGACATTTTTAGCTTATTTCCTAAGAAAACTGATGTGAATGTGCAAACTATACCATTTTCCAAATGGGAAAACATCTCTTTTGTCTAATTATTATTGTGAAAGTGAAAATTATTTTATTGTCCAAATGGGAAAAAATAGCCATCTCCTTCAGATACATTTATTTTAGGCTGTGCGAAAATAATTGAGTCTTTTCCATGCTTGCATGATATTGATTTCTAAAGTAAGCTTTCTTGGATAGACCAATCAGTCCAGATTATCAACATATTTACAGCTAGTTTCAAATGTTGCTAACCAACCACAGTACACACTCAGAACATGATTTCTTCTCATCTCAAATCAATCTGATATAGGTATAACCGAACTATCTGGGAGCTGGTGATTGGAAAACCAGCAAAACCGCAAAGCCCTGCATCTCTTTTTTTAAAGCCGGGGTAGGGGGACTACTTAGAACCTCTCTGTGTGCCTGATGACCATTGGCTCAGTTGAAGGGATAGTCCTTCCTCTGCAGCATAGTCAATGAACTGCTGAGGTTAGCCTGCAACAAACTGAAATGTTCCACCCCAGATGGACAGGAACACTCAAGACAATACAACAGGGAAAAGTGTACATTGGAAAAGAAGCAGAAAAACCACCCTGAGGTCACCTTGAAGGTGAATGGGGGATTAGTAGAAGACAACATTGTCTGTTACGGCACTCCAGAAATGGTTGCTTCTGCTTTTGGCAATGGAGCCGTAAGTGCAGGTTACCCTTAACATATGTTCATAGCAACTAACCTTTCCACGACAGTCAACTTTATTCTGCTTTAGTTGGTGGCTTGCCTCAAAGAAGCATTTAGCTATTTTTTTACCTCAGATTCATAATACTGAAGAAGTGACCATCATATTTTTCTAATAAAATATATTTTCTATTCTCTAAGCAATTGATGCCAATTGCTACTTAAAAGCAACCAAGGAATAACTGATAGATTCTTAAATTTGGGGTTATATTCATGCATGGGGCTGGAGAGAGTACCCAGAAAGTGAGATTGCTTGAAGGAAAACAGAAAAGGAAGAAACTGCTATAAAAGTTGCAATTTTAAAAATTAAAAACATGCATTTTGCTGAATAATAATAATAATAATTCCAAAATCCATCAACTGGCACAAGCTCTTTGGTGATCAGTAGGCGCATAGAAATAGGTCATTTAAGCCTTGGGTCTGCAAACCAATAAACTCCAGATACAACCAGACTAGGCCCTCAGCCTATAAACCCATGGCTTTTTATGATGTTTTGCTTCACATTTATCAAATTGTGCCTCAACCCTAACTCTGAAATAGTAGATTCTAGTTTTGTTTTATCCTGATCTTTGGATTTTTCCTAATTCTTGTTTTGGATGGAATAGCAGATGGAGATATTTTAATTTAAAAAAAAAAGTTCCTTAAGGCAAGAGTTGAAACCTTCTTCTTCCCACAATCAGTTCATTGTTCCCATCTCATCTTGCTTCGCAGCTTAGATTGTTCCCCACTGAACCAATATTTTTGCTATCCAAAGATTGGCCATGCTCAACTTTCAAGATTTCTTTTTGTTCTGCTTTACTCCATAGCACTTTAGCAAACCTCAGTCCTTATTAAGTTAGGTCCATATAGCTGCTTGTTAATTTCAGTAGAAACAGTATAACCATGATAATAAAGGACTGCTGCTCCATTGTAACCAATCCGTATTAGATTGTGATGACTTGTAGCAGTCCATCCAATTCTACTCTCCCCCCAGAATACTCTCCCCCCAGAGATGAGGCAGGCCCCTACCCTCCCAATTTTTTGGAGGGAATTGAAGACTTGGCTCTGCCAACTTGCGTGGGGCAAGGAAAGATACAATCAACCCTGGGGATGGCTGGCGTCTTGACGACACTCCGAGTTTATTAACACCTAATTAAATCAGCCTCTTGGAAGTACCGCATAGGAAGTTTGTTTTTTTAGAATATTTTAATTAATTAATTAATATTTATCTATTAATGTTTATTCTGTTTTTACTGTAAACCTCCCAGAGTCACTCTGCAGTGAGATGGGCGGTGACAAATTTGAAATCTAAATAAATAAATAAAAAGTTGCTAGTAATGTGTTTAGGATTGCAATCCAGAAGCAACAGTATTAATACATTTAGGAGAAATATTTAAGTTTTATAACATAACAAGAAACTTTGTAACAATAACTAATTGTTCTTTTTCACATCACTGAAACAATGTTTTCTTTTTTATTTTCAGACGAATACTTCATCGAGATTTGAAAGCTAAGAATATTTTTTTGAAAAATAATCTGGTTAAAATTGGTAGGATATAAAAAAAATCTTACTATTTATTTCTCCAGGGGCACGGAGAGCAATAATACATTGGGTATACATCTAGGGATTGGGAGAAAAAAAAAAGTCCATGAATACAGGCTCCAAGCTGTCCCATAACTCACTGGGCAATAGAAAATGATGGCAAGGTAGATGAAATTGAAGGATGCTGTCATTACAGAGGCCCAACAATTGTTTGAATGTTAATTCCATGCTTAGGCAGAGAAGTACAAATTCTTACTACTTTTCCCTGTCCAGGTTTACTTCCTCATAGACTTCCACGCACTTTTCTTTTAGTCAAACATCAGCCTGGGGCCAGATCTTGGCTTTGAAGTATATTCAACAGGCTGAGACTGCATCTCTTTATTTTAAAAGCGAACCTTACCAACATTCCTGTAGGAAATGAATATTATATTTCATAATATGATGTTTTTTTTAAAAAATCCCAAGATACAGTACAAAAAAACTAAAACATAGCATCATGCCATCTGTTATGTATTATGGGAAGATATGCATTTATCTGTTCTGTCCCAGACTGCCATAGTTATGGCTAGGTTTGCTCAAAGCCATGTACATATGGCACAATAAAAACATTGCCATAAGAGTTCCTTAGTTAGCTAAATCATGATGACATCCGTCAGTGATCAAAGCACATGGAAAGGAGGCTTTCAAAATTGTTGCACAGTTACTTTTCATACAGTTATCAAAGTGTTGTAGAATTTGTGTGTTTATTTTTTAAAATATTGTTATATACTGCAGGAAAGGCTTTTAGTTTTAAATACATTGTTACTCTGAAGAAGCACTGCCATATGAAGGAACTAAAATGGACAAATATCTGAACTCTGATACAAGGCAAATTTCTATGAATTTCTCATATTTTAGCCCAGTAAAACATATTGTTTTTGTTTTCCTTAGTGTTAAATAGAATTGAGAGCACACGTTAAATGAGAAAAAATGTCTTTCCCTCATATTTTCTTTTAACAATTGCATTATTTTTACTGTTTTTCATCACTACAAAATAATGTATAGGCTATAGTCCTATACCCATTTCTGCTGCAGTAAATCCCATTGAACTCAGTGATACTTATTTTTGCATAGAGATCATTGTGCTGTGATTTTCAAAGCAAGCCTTTGTTACATCAGACAATCAGATAATTTTGTTCTTATTTTATATAGCTCTGGTTTTTTTTTTTTTAAAAAAACCCTGATTAAGTTCTGAATGTGCATAAATGGTAGCCCTTTTTAAAAACATGCTGCTTTGGGGATAAAAACTTATTCTGTGAATGGAAGGCAGATATGACAACTGTTTTATTCACAATATTAGTGACTGTGAATGCACAGTTTATGAGAGTGTTACTGGGAGCCCCCATGCCTATGAATAATTCTTACAACTATGCATTTGAATTAAAAGAATTTCCAATCATAGTTAGCTAGCTTAGCTTAGTTTTAGTTTTTTTACTTCATTGGCTGTTTTTCTACCAGATTACTAAATATTAAACTTTTCTTTTTAAGGGGACTTTGGAGTTTCTCGCCTCTTGATGGGATCCTGTGATTTAGCAACTACTTTTATTGGGACACCTTTCTACATGAGCCCAGAGGCATTGCAACATCAGGGTTATGACACAAAATCAGACATTTGGTGAGGAGACAGTGTTCTGTTTCAAATTTATTTCACTGCAATGATCATGCAAGCGCATAAGTTCCGGTTTCTGGGTCACAATCTGTTTCTTTATATGTTAGGCTTTATTTGTATTTTCTATGGAACTCCCCACCTCCCCAGCACACAGTTATTAGAGCAAATAGGCTGCCATCTAAGAATAATGCTTCATATGTTCTGAGGGGTTGTTAGTCTGACATCCCTTTTTTTTATACTTCTGTTTTGGGGGAAAAAAAAGGTTTTATTTTATTGTATTCTATTGAAGTATATTTTCGTGGCCCAATTTTTCTTCTGTTTGCAAATGGATTTTTATTTAGGTTATTTAATAAACTGATAAATTGTGTGAATTTTATGAAAAAAGCAGAGTATTTTTGTTGTTGCTTCTTTTAAAACTGAAGCTTTTATATGGATACCTAGTCTATTCCATCTCCTGAAAACACTGGTTTCTTGAGATAATCTTGAATAATGCAGCATGTCTAGTGATATTTCATTAAATAACCCCTACTATTTTTCACAGATAGCTTTCTGTTTCCTTTTGCTGGTGTTAAAGAAGTAAAGATTCCTGTGCTGTGCTTCCTTGCGTTTGAATGGAAATAGATTTTGTGTCACTCTTCATTGTTCCTTGCTGTATCAGGCTATCATTGAAGGAATAAAATACTGAAAGGTTTCAAAAATATGGACAAGACAGACAGAAGGCATTAAAGGAAAGACCTGGTTTCTGTAGAGTTATCACACAAACAGGCTTGCCTGCACTACTTAATCTATTGAAAGTTATAGTTCATCACTCAGGAATGGTGCACATACAGCTGTGTCTTGGAGTGAAAATTGAACTAGCAATAAGAAAGAAGTCACACTTGAGTCACCGCTGGTTTTACAATATCAAATTAAATAATGAATTAGCAGAACCAGTTCCAGGTTTTGAACCAATGTTATTTTGTTCTAACCCGTACTTAGCCCAAGATCAGTACCTCCTGCAAACTCTACTGTGACCCTGGGGTCTTAGTGAGAATTACTTCTGCTTTTGCAGTTCAATTAAATAGGCGCCACTTTTTGTTTGTATTATTATTTTCTTCTATATTATTCATCCTTATTTTTATATAAAAAGCAGTTTTAAGAAGTGCTTTATAGACAATATTTAGGATTATAGCATTATCCTAAAAAGTAACACCGTCTCCAACTTGTTTTGCCTTCTATCTGGCAGATTGCTTTTTCTTCCCAAGTTTGACCCTGGAGAAGAAAAGGAAGTCTTAGCTTTAACATAACACTTCCCAACTGTGCTTGATGCTATGTTACATGGTAGCTGTGAACGGACATCATGCTAAATCAGGATTGTATTAATCCTTTCAATAAACAGGATTATTTGCACTTGACTGCTCCTGCTAGTAAGGCAAGGCTAGTAAACTCTAGGAGTTCCACCTTGCTTTGTTTCTCTTCTCTGAAGGCAAAATTTGGTGTTTGGTTTGGCTGCGGATAATTCCAAGAGACCCCAGTTCACTTATTATGCTAAAGAAATCACAAATAGATCTATCTGGAATAGTCAGCACTGGCTAGTGTAATATATTTGTTTATTACATTTCTAGGCTACCTAACTCCAAGCATCGGGCGGGGGGG